GGGTTTCTTCTCTTTTCATTATTGGATTAAAACCTACCCCACCCTTAATCCTGCACCAGGAACTGTGTAAGCAGGGAGCTATTCCAGTCTGGAAACCAACTGGAGCATAAAACCCCAGTTATTGTTCCTGCGGCTGACCGGCACGCTGTGGTTTTGGGTTATTTCCATGACTTTTGCTGACGGAGCTCGGCTGTCCTGGCTCACGCCATGTCCCCAGCGGGGACACAGATGGGGCAGCCTGGGCCAAAGTGATGCCTGCAGAGCCCCAAGGATCTCCCTGCGCAGAGACACCCTCGAAATCTGCAGCACCGATGTTTCAGAGGTGTTTTCGTAGAGAGGAAAACCTCTTTTGTAAAACCAAGTTGTACTTGGGGGAACTAAGATTGGTTTTCATGTGTTTTTCAGGCCACCTGCTCTGAGGACAGTTATGAACAAAACAAGGAAAATTAGTTTGAAGAGAGAAACAAAACAGAGAAGAAAAATCAAGGAGAGCACTTAAAGCTGCCGGAGGGAGCTTGATGCCCTGGACTGCAACTCCCTGTCATTGCCCACCCCCTCCACCCCCCCATTTTTAATTACAAGCAGTCAAACTGTAAAGACCTTAATGGACATCTTAATTATTGCATTAAAGTTGGAGATGGAAAATTCCTCATTACGTGCCATGCAGTAGGTCACGGCTGCAATAAAGGGTGATATTTTGCTTGTTACAGTGCTGGGTGCCCTTTGCAGAGCGATGGTGTCTTTGGGGCATGTCCCGGCCCCCGGGAGCTGGCAGGTGGATGTTAAATCAGGTCTCTGCTGTGAGAGCATCTGCTCGTGTTTTCAAGGCGAAAGTATCGGCGAGAAGTGCTCTTTGCTATTTCTTTTCTCCTCCAAATAGAGCTATTTTTCTCCTGCGTTTTGCTTTCCATCTGCTTGAATGTGTTTATTGATTTAGTGTTATGCAAACTGCAATAAAACAGTATCCTTCCAATGCTCCAGAGCCAGCTATTGAATATGCCCCAAACAATTTAAACACAAACCGGCCCCTCAATTCCAACCCGCAGCAGCAATACGACGTACCTGTGATGAATCAGCCTTTAAACCCAGTCCCAGATTCCCAGTCCCTTTGGCACCGAACCCGTTCCTACGTGCTCAGGGCAGGCTCAAAGCTGGGCTCCAGCCTGGCGGGCAGCGTAGCCCTGGGACCCGGACAATTTAGGGAACATGGCAAAGCTCATTCTGTTCTCTCAGGCTTTACACAGTTGCAGGATACGGTGAAGAAGAACAGGGCAGGGTTTAAGGTGGGTCTGTGGCTGCTTCGGGCTTTTCGGGTCAAAATAGCTCAAAATAGTGTGTCAGAAGTTGTCTATACCTTCATAAGTGGAGCAAAAGGACAGTAAAATTGGAGGATAACTTGCATTCTGCTAAATCATCTTCAGCATTCTTTCCATACCAAAAAGTTTCAAGTTTTTTTTTTTCTGAGCACATTGAGGAGAAAATTAGTGGACTCTGCGGTCCTTAAAGATATTTTCTTGATTACGTGACCCTACAGATGAGGTTTTAAAATCCCTTTAGTGGCTATTTCTCCTTTTAAACTGTACTCCCAAACTTTTGCTCCCTGTCCCCGCACTAACAGGACAATTGCCAGATGGAGGGGGAAAGCAAACGCTGGGACGGCAGGTCCTGGGACTCCCCCAGCGCAGGCGCCGGCGGTGAGAGCCATCAGCCAGGAGCCAGGCTCTGCTTGCTGCCCAGCTGTGCCAGCTGTGCCAGCTGTGAACCATTACAGCTGTGCTAGCCAAACCATCCGTGCCAGCCATACCGCACTGTCCGTGCCAGCTGTTCCAGCTGTGCCAGCTGTGCCCGGGCCAGGCTCAGCAGCTCTCTGCCGGCCGGGAGCTGCCGCATCCCAGATCGCACAGCTCCCTCTGTTGGCATCTGTTCGAACCTCTCAGCGAGGATGCAAAAAAAGCTGGCAATGTATTTATTATTTTTTTTAGCACCATCTCCAGGTGGAAGGCGATCTGTCTGCGGGGGTATATCCCCCTCACCACCGAAGACTCGCTTCATCTATGTTATTTATTACTCTAACAAATTATATTAGGCCATGTTCCCTGATGCTGTACTGACCACAGCTCTGGTGAAGACAGCTTTTTTTTTTTTTTTCTTAAGACAGCTTTTCAGTCATTTTTCCAAAATAAGTGGGAAGAAGATGTAGCTGGATGTACTCTGAAGCCCAATATAAAAGAACACACAAGGCGGCTGTGAAAATCTGCCAGCCCAGATATTCGCCCAGCACGGCCTCCCCATCCTCTCGCACCGGCCCTGAGGAGTTAATGACACTAAATATACTTGAGCTCTGTCTGTCCTTTACTAATCACGCAACGTAGCACCTCCGCATTCAAAGGAAAATCACACACTGTGCAAATGATTTGCTGCCTTTATTTTTTTTTGGTCCTTCCATAACAAAAACTCTCAGAGAGCAAGCTTGGGCAAGGCTGCTTAACCGAATAATAGTACAGCTACGTAAAATGAACTCAATACTTCACCAAAGAGGTACCAACACAATGAAACCTAAGCCTCAAAAGTACTTCAAATCTTTAACGTGTTAGCCAGTTTACAGAGACAGATAATCCGGACAGCCCACCAAAGCGTTAGCTGGATTTACGGAGAAGGCACAGCCAGCAGCATTGACTTTCCTTTGAAGATCTGAGTTCCAAATTTCCCAGCTTGCACAGCCAAGGGGTGGCCGAGCTGCCTGGCTCGAACACGAGTGATTTACACCCCGCAACTCTTGCACGAGAAACGGTGCAACCACCGAAGAGAACCGGAATTCACTCCTCCTGCTCCTGACCTGCAACGCTGGATGGCCAGGGGAGATGTTAAAAAAAAACCCTAAAAAACCAAAAACACCTTTTTTTTTTTTCTTTTTCCTATGTTGCCATAGAAAAAGCTGTGGAAATAATCTGCTGGGACCGGCTGAGAGATAAGACTGGCTGAGACGTCTGCACGGCCTCGGGCCTCTTTGGCAAGCTTGGTTTGCACTTGCTCTGTGTGCCCCCCCCCCCATTTTACCCGCTGATTTTAAGAGGCTTCCAGCAGCGGTCGCGTCTCCTGCTCTGCAGCGCTGCCGCACTCCAGATACAGGGTAGTATCTGTAGTACAGATCTGGAGATAGGGTTGTACCTATGGCAGCAACCAGTCTTTTAGGGGAAAAAAGCACAGAAAGAGAAAAAAAAACTTTCTCATCTCTCCGGCCCCCAATCAGGCCGCACCAATCCTATATTTTCTTGTGAAGACATCAGGCAATTGTGTCTTTATCTCTTAATACCCCCAATAAGTAGCCCAGCTTAGCTTAGAGGCATCCGAGAGTGTCTCTGCAATTAAAAGGCTGTCAGTATTTTCACTATAATCCCAGCTATTCAGAAACTTAACGTGGCTCCAACATACCTTCCAAGAAGAAATTTGGCCGAAACAAAATGCGAAGCAGGGGATAATTATGTTTTTTTAAGGACAATGAATCTGAACCTATCGCTTTCCTGCACGGTGAGGTCCCTTGGGAAATCTGGTCCCAAGTTTCAAGTTTTCTGGTAAGCACTAGAGAAATCAAAAAGATCCTTTCAGGCTGCAAGCAAGGGGTGGGAGGAAAAGCAATGAATTGCTTTAATACGAAATGTCACATTTAAAATAGATCCTACAAAACCAGAAACTGTAGGCTGGTAAATCCTTCCCTTCTCGAAGTACTGTGGGTTTTGGTGGGATTACCACTCAAAATAAGCATGCAGAATCAGGCCTCGAGTACGTAAAATATAGAATTTGGTACTTAAATTTAAAAATATCTATAAATAACTTAAGACATTCAGGCTCAGAGGCGTGTACAGCCGAGTACTCCCCTCTGACACGGGGAACCGCAGGGATTCGTACCCAGTACTGTGGACCCCAAATGCAGAACTCCGCTTTACGCTTAACCTAGAAACAAAACCTGCCCACTGCAGGCTCCTTGGAAAATCTCCGGCGCCCCTTTGGGAGCACGTGGAGCACACGTCTAATCAAGCAGAAAGCATGAGGGAGTATAGATCCATAGCGCTGAACGTGACCCGTTCTTCCTATACGTTCACA